ATCAGTGGGTGAAAAGATTTATTTAGATCATGATATGTACGAAACAATTGTATTTAATCTTTGTAAGCATTTTTTTTTCTGCCTTTTTATAAATTCACGTTACAAATTCACGTTCATCAAAAAAACGCAAAACTAAAATAATTGTTTATTAAGGTTCGAATGCTTTAAAGCATACTTGGAACGGACACATAACCGTCCGATTATATCTTGACTACAAAGATAATAACAGGATGGTAGTCCTTGAAGTTTCAGATTCAGGTTAATAAAATCTTATATTAAATTGTTTTATATTCTAGTGCTAAATCTATATTTAAACCATTATCATCATCATGATTATGGTAATACTCTTACCATATTATCTAGGTGTTGGCATTCCAGAAAATGTTCTTCCAAATCTATTCCAACGCTTTTATCGTGTAGAAGCTCAATCTTCACGTAGTCACGAAGGTACTGGAATAGGACTCGCTCTCATTAAAGAACTTGTTACTCGTCATGGTGGTGATATTACTGTAACTTCTGTAGTAAATCAAGGAACGGCATTTAAATGTTGGTTTCCAGTAGGATGTGATCATTTACCATCAAATCAAATATACTCTAATATCGTTGAAAATCAAACAAGTCAAGATCGACAATTATACACTAATCGGCAGCTTTATTTAGAAGAAAGTTCTCAATGGATAAGAAAAAGTTCACCTGAAACTCAAGGTGATATAATAATGGCTGTCGATGATCAAAATACAAATAAACCTTTAACGGATTATAATCATACTGCTGGTAAAAGATGTCAAATCTTACTTGTTGAAGATAATCTTGATATGCGGTAATACATTACATTTTCTTTGTTATTTAATCAAATGAGCGTATTCGATAAATTATTTATAATTATTTGTCAATTACACTTTTATAGTGATTATTTGACAGATCTGTTGAAAGAATTTGATGTATATCGTGCTTGCGACGGTCTAGATGCTATACGAGTTTTAAAAAATCTTCAAAGATTACCTGATTTAATTCTTAGTGGTAAATAATTATAAAATGTTATATAATATTATATATAATAATTATGATATTTTAATTTTATAACATATATATAGAACATATGATAATTATATGGTTTAAATTTTATAGATATCATGATGCCAAATATGAGTGGATACGAATTATTAGAATTGTTAAGATCTGATGAAAAAACTAAACAGGTCCCTATAATTTTATTATCTGCAAAAGCTTGTGAAGATTCTAAAGTTAAAGGTAACTTTAAAACTATTAACTTATTGATACGTATAATTGATATATAATTCTTTATTCTACATTTTATTCTACATTGTTTAAGGTCTGGATACAGGAGCGGATGACTATATATCAAAACCATTTTCTTCTCGAGACCTGATTACTCGTGTTCGCACTAATATTAATCTCTCACATATTCGTCGTACAATAATAGCTCAACAGGTTAAACAAGAAGAAATAAAACAATTATTACTTTTAATATCAACCAAGATTACTTCCAGATTAGATCTAAATGAAACATTAAAACACGTTGCTAAAGAACTTAATCATATATTATCATGTGAAGGAATAGCTATTATTATTAATAAGCAATTTGAATTAAAGAGTGATAGAATAGTTGCTTTATATGAAAATTCAGAAAATATGACTAATCCATCCACAGAAATTATTTATGAAATTACTGATGAATCACAAACGTTCACTAATTTACAAGATTTTTTAAACGATAATTCAGGAATAGATGTTTCTTTAAACGTATGCTGTGATTATATTTGTAAAAATGCATCTATATTATCCACAGAAATAAGATCAGATTATGGTATTTGGGGATGGATAAAAGCATATAGACCTTCAAATTCTATTTGGTTGATTCCCGAAATAGAATTTTTACAACAAATATCGAATCAATTAGGTTTATCTATTTCTCATGCAAATTTGATAGAAAAGAATGCTGAAATGGATATTCAAATAAAAGCTGCTGAAGCTGCAAGTATTTCTAAAAGTCAAATATTAGCAAATACTTCTCACGGTATATTATTATCATCATTTGTGTACATTTACAAAATCTTTTACTTTTATATTTTATTAATTTAATTTTAATGTTTTATAGAATTACGAACACCACTAGGAGCTATAGTGGGTATTCTTTCTTCTTTTGAGACCGCTGTATTTACTGCTGATCAAAGAGACATGGTTAATATCATGGCACGTGCTTCTGATGTCGTGTTATCAGTAATAAATGATATCCTTGATGCTGCAAAATTAGAAGCACAAAAAATTACTTTAATAAATAGAACGTTTTATTTATTAGAATTAATTGAAAGTACAATTGAGAAATTTGCAAAAAGAGCTGGTGATAAAAAAATTGGCTTGGTTTTAAATTGTGATTTAGATGTAGTGTCGAGATATATTAAAACTGATCCTGAAAGGTAATTTAATTAAAATGGTTTATATTAAATGTTATTACGATTTAAAATGATATTACTTTATTATAATTGTAATTTTATCGCTCACTTTGATCTTTATTAAACAGGCTGGAGCAAGTTTTATCTCATTTATTGTCAAATGCGTAATTAAATTTTTTTTTATTCAAATTTTTCTTAACTTGAATAAATAATTCAAAATCATTTATAATTTTTTTTTCTAGAATTAAATTTACCGACAAAGGTGAAATAGTATTATCAATTTCGATGCAGTCACGAAGAATTATTGATAAAAACGTTGAGAATCCAACTTATGGTCAAGCACTTCATAAAGAAAATCTATTAGTTGAATTATATGATACTGGTTCTGGGTAAGTTACTTACTTATAGTATGATTATATGCTTTATATTTTTAGTTAACACGTCATCTAACAATTTTTTTTATCGTAACAATAACAGTGTGGATCCTGCATATGCTCAAAATGCTTGGAAAAGCTTTTCACAAGGCGACATGTCAATAACCAAAAAGAAAGATGGTACAGGACTTGGTCTTTCAATTTGTAAAAGTTTAGTAGAAATTAATGGAGGAGAAATTAATGTAGAAAGTCAATTAGGAAAATGGAGTAAATTTTGGTTTACATGGAATATTGAATTATTATCAATGACTCCTTCGTTATTAAGATCACAATTTACTGAGATAGATTGTATTATGAAACAAAAACGAATATTAATAATTTATCCACTTGAAAGTATGAGAAATGCAATTTTAAGATATCTTAAAATGGCTAACAAAATTGATGCCTTTGATACCTTTGATAAAGGTATTGAAGCTGCTAAAGCGCATAAACAATTACATGATCGATCTACTTACGATATAGCTTTCATTGGTCTTTATGAAGATAATGAAGCGGAGGTTACAAAAGCAATACTAGAATTAAGAAGATTGGAAGTAGATAATAATATTGTAATAGTACTTATAGCATTTCCGGGTATTGAAGGAAATGTTATTGTGGAAAAATTAACTAGCAAAGTTGGAGGAACGATTTCTGTTCTTTATACTCCAATTACTTGGAGAAAGTTATCCAACTTGCCCATATTTAGTAAGTCTTTTAACGTAAATCCATTGTTTGCATCCATCACTGTATCATGTAAAATAATTAATTTTACGTAACGTATACTGTATTTTAGATAACGTGTAAAGGTTTGATGTTTATCAAGCAATTAGGATATTAAAGGCACCAATTCACATATGCCTATGAAGGGATAAATATACCGAGTAAGGAATAATAATTATCTTACAAATCTTCTGAGAAAGCTAAAGGATTTGAAGAAAACTAATAATCTTACAAATCTTCTGAGAAAGCTAAAGGATTTGAAGAAAACTAATATGAACTACAGTTAAAAAACGTTATCTGCAATACATGTTTTTTTTTTTTAATTTAAAATTGACTTTATCATTTATATAATTTTATTTATCTAAAAACTTTGTAAACGTAACGTAAAAAGAACTTTTATATGTTTATTATTTATAAGTATTTATGTAATTATATGCAACTGTTTTAAAAATTCTATCGCGTATTTAATTTTTATAATTTATGATTGACTATGGTTTTTTTTTTCTAAAAGTTTTTATAATAAAATTAATAAAGCCACACCAATTTTTTACAATAATCACATCTTCTTTTGCTACATATCACAACTAGCTTTGTCCTAAGTGCAATGATGAGTAAGGGAGGGAGGGCTGTATCAGATCGTAAACAGGCAGCGAAGAAAACAGGCGATCAAAACAAGCGAAGTAAGAAAGCACTCCTGATTTGCAACCTACACCCACATACAGTCATTTGCCTTTTTGAAATTACTTTTGTTAGGTCATTTGAGTCATTTGAAATTTATTCATGTCGGCGGATTTACGGAATTGAAATTGGACCCTAAAAATGGTCCCCAAAATGCGATTGTTTACAAAAATTTATTGGTC